TCAAGTATTCCCCATCACAACCCCCAACCCATACCAAGGTGCTCAGTATCTATCATGGAATCCAGACATAGTAGCCTCCCACCATATAACTCTGGACATTGCTTCCCTCCATATTGCCAACAATTATAATGGTGATAATTAACTCAAAGTTGGTAATGGCAGGTATGCAAATCACTCACTCTGGGTTCAGCTACTTACTACTCTTTTCCCATAACTTTTACCCTAAAAATGTTCTCTGTGTCCAAAATTACACAACCTCTATTGTCCGTTCAAAAATTTACACATGATAACAATTGTTTCTTTGAGTTTTGGCTGTCACATTTTCTTGTTAAGGATCAGGTAACTAAAAAAGTTCTTCTCCTCAGACCCAGTAACAATGGTATCTATGAACTGCAACCACCAAGGAAGCAAGCACATGTCAACACCACTTCCACCTTCATTGATTAGCACTCCTGGCATGGTCATCCTCATCACAGTATTGTCTCCTCTATCCTCAAGTCTCACAAGTTGCCCAGTTCTCACTTCTCCACTTCTAACTTTTGTCAGTCTTGTCCTTTAGGAAAACTATCTCACTTAACTTTGTATTTTATTGTCCACAAGAGTCTGGTGCCGTTTGAGTTAATCCACTCTAATGTATGGGGTCCGACACCATCTCTTTTGAGTCAAAGTCATAGGTATTTTTCCATTTTGGTTGATAATTTTACACAATATACATGGTTGTACTTTCTAAAAGATAAAAGTTAGCTTTTATCAAAATTTCTTGAGTTTAATGCCTCTATTGAATGTCAATTCAATTCCAAAATTTAATCACTACAATCAGACTTTGGGGCTGAATATCAAAAAGTAAATCAATTCTGTAAAACAAAGGGAATCATTCATCGTTTAGCTTGTCCTCATACGCATGAACAAAACAGTTTATCAGAAAAAAAAAATCATCATATTACTAATATAGGTTTCACTCTCCTTGGTCACTCATACGCATGAACAAAACAGTTTATCAGAAAAAAAAAATCATCATATTACTAATATGGGTTTCACTCTCCTTGGTCACTCAAATGTTCCCCTTCGGTTATGTCAATTTGTATTTGAGACTGTAGTCTTCTTAATCAACATACTACATACCAATGTGTTAAACAATTCCTGCCCATTCACCAAGCTTTTTGGTTCTGCTCCTCTTTACCAGAGCTTAAAAATCTTCGGGTGTCTCATCTTTCCTCTCCTCATACCATATAATCGTCATAAGTTTTCATATAGTTCCAGTCCTTGTGTTTACTTAGGTAATTCCCCTTCCCATTCTGATTTTTGTTGTCTTGATCCTTCATCCGATCGTCTATATATATGTCGCCATATTAAATTTAATGAAATAGTCTTTCCAGTCAAAATCTCTTCATCCTCTATTCCTTCCACCACTCCAGGTGCTGCAGATGCTTCCTCTCATTGGTTAATAATTCACACAAATAACTCCCTTGCACTTACCCCCTATGTCTCCCTTCACTTTGACCTCTCCCCTAACCATTCCTCACCAACTAGACATCCTTTCCTCGATTTATTCCTTCACCTTATCCACTACCATGCCTCCCATCCCCCTTATAGTTGATCTCACCTAATATAATTCGAATACAAATCCCCCTACTTCTCCCTAACGCACCCACCCCATGACATTTCACCCTTCTACCATGACCCATAAACATATCGCCTACCTTGCTAAACACTCCTAAACCAAACTATCTTCAGACTGAGCCTCAAACTTATAAATAAGCCTCTCGTTATAAAGAATAGAATGTTGCCATGAAGTCTGAGTTTGATGCATTGCAGTCTACCAACACTTGGTCACTGGTACCTAGACCCACCCACAAATATATCATTAGAAGCAAATGGGTGTTTCATGTTAAAGAAAATATGATGGCAATATTGATCACTACAAGGCCCTGTTGGTCGCCCAAGGCTTCTCCCAACAACCTGGCCTTGACTATAAGGAGATATTCAGTCCTGTTGTAAAAGCTTCCTCCATCAGAATACTATTATCTCTTGCCTTTGCTCTTAAATATGACATTCAACAATTGGATGTCTCAAATGCCTTTCTCTATGGTACCTTGAAAGATGAAATTTATATGGAGCAACCTTTGGGTTTTAAATCTACTGCTCATCCTTCTTACGTTTGCAAATTGCAGAAGTCACTCCACGATTTGAAGCAAGCCCTGCGGGCACGGTTTACCAGGCTAAGTTAGTTCTTAATCTCGGTTGGCTTTCATTTCTGTAAAGCTGATACCTTATTATTCATCTATCATCATGGCACTGATAAACTCTTTCTCCTATCATATGTTGATGACTTAGTTATACCGACAATAATTCTAATCTCATTTGCCGTATCATTACATCCTTTAAGTCTGAATTCCCTGTACGCGCTCTTGGACAACTACATTATTTCTTGGGTATTAAAGTTAATTATGAGCATAATGGGCTGCTCCTCACTCAAACCAAATATATACACGATCTTCTCTCAAGAACAGGCCTTAAAGATGCAAAATCGTGTCCAATACCAATGACTGGCTTTCCTATACTATCTAAATCTATGGGTACTCTACTTTCAGATGACTTTATATATCGTCAGGTAGTTGGAGCTCTTCAGTATGCAACCATCACCAGGCCAGACATTAGTTACTCAGTTAATAAATTATGCCAGTTTATGCATGCTCCAACATATATACACTAGAAAGTCGTTAAACGAGTCCTACGACATCTCAAGTACATATTCTCCCTTGGTTTAATTATCTCTCGTGACACATCCCTTGATTTTCACTGCTTCAGTGAGAGTGATTGAGGCGGGGGCCCCGAT